ATGGGGTAATATGTGTCATACATTTAGTACATTCGTACATGGGGTAATATGTGTCATACATTGAGTACATTCGTACATGGGGTAATATGTGTCGTACATTGTGTTCATTCGTACATGGGGTAATATGTGTCATGCTTTGAGTTCATTCGTAAATGGGGTAATATGTGTTATACATAGAGTTCATTCGTACATGGGGTAATATGTGTCATACATAGAGTTCATTTGTACATGGGGTAATATGTGTCTTGCATTGAGTACATTCGTATATGTTGCAATTTGTGGCATCTACTTACATGTCTGGCACTTACCCAGCGCCTTACCCCCACCCCTACAGCTATCTAGATTTTTTAGACGAATTAACCTACATCATTATTTTTCTGTGTAGAGTTAAATGGCTAATGCACATTGTTTGTAAATATTTCAGTAAGGTGATATAGTTATTTTAACAAAGTGAAATCAAAGTGTGGATGTTTACCTGGATTAGCAAAAAGTGGTTGTTGTTTTTGCTGTGGTTGGCGAAATGAAGATGTTGTTAGCTGTGGTTGGCGAAATGAAGATGTTGTTAGCTGTGGTTGGCAAAATGAAGATGTTGTTGGCTGTGGTTGGCGAAATGAAGATGTTGTTGGCTGTGGTTGGCGAAATGAAGATGTTGTTGGCTGTGGTTGGCAAAATGAAGATGCTGTTGGCTGTGGTTGTCAAAATGAAGATGTTATTAGCTGTCGTTGGCAAAATGAAGTTGTTGTTGGCTGTGGTTGGCAAAATGAAGTTGTTGTTGGCTGTGGTTGGCACGAAGTAAAGCAGGAAGTGCATATGTATAGTTTTTAATAGTCACAAACAAAATGGCTTTCGTATATCCCAGTATAAATCTGAGTCACAATAGTATACCTTCGAGTCACCAGTGTAACTTAGAGTCACCACAGTGTAGGTGAGTCACCAGAGTGCAACTTTGTGTCACCAGAGTGCAAGTTTAAGCCACCAGAGTCGAACTTGGTGAACACAAAGTATAGATTCAACTCAAAGAACTGTAGTAACGAATAAAAAACGAATAAAAAAACTCTTTTGAATCGGTTTTAAGAAATCAATTTCTTATAGAACTGTACAACTACAGCTGGTGCGGGAACATTTCAATATTCCATTCATCAAAATAATGTCTGCCATAACCTATTTAACCTACACTTTGAATGTTGGACATAGACTAGTTGCGTATAACCAAGCAAATGTTCTAAGGTATAAGATTGGGTACATGTTACCTCACATACATGCTTTATATCGACATAAATACTGGCAAATCATCACGTTAGCTATTGGCTTTATGTCGACATAAATACTGGCAACTCATCACCTCAGCTATTGGCTTTATATCGACATAAATACTGGCAAATCATCACGTCAGCTATTGGCTTTATATCAATGTGAATAATAAACAGTAAACTGGCTACATATCAATAGCTTGAATTCACTTTTGTCTACTTTTCACTTTTTATGGTGGATAATATCATCTCTATTGATGCATTTATATTCACTGATATATTGATTTGGCTACATATTACCCAATAAATTGGCTAGATACTAACATATATATTGGCTGCATATTACCTCATGTATTTGCTACATATCATCTCATATATTAGCTACATATTGCCTCCTATATTGGCTACATATCACCTGATATATTGGCTACATATTGCCTCCTATATATGCTACACTTTACATGATATATTGGCTACATATCACATGATATACTGGCTACATACAACCTGATATATTGGCTACATATCACTTCATATTTTGGCTTCATGTCACCTCTTATATTAACTACCATTACCTGATATATTGGTTACACATCGCATACTATATTGGCTGCCTATCACCTTATATATAAGCAACATATACCTAACGTATAGACCAGACGTCACAACTAAAACCCAACTCAGCAAGACGAGACGTCACAACTAAAACCCAACTCAGCAAGACCAGACACGTTTCCCTGGTATTTATTCCCTTCACATCTCCGACTCTTAGATCTGTAACATTCCCACTCACACACCACAAGACACATTTCACTCACACACGACAACACACATTCCCACTCACACACGACAACACACATTCCCACTCACACACGACAACATACATTCCCACTCACACACGACAACACACATTCCCACTCACACACGACAACACACACGACAACACACATCTCACTCACACACGACAACACATTTCCACTCTCACACGACAACACACATTTCACTCACGTTTGCCCCTGACAACACACACGACAACACACACGACAACACACACGACAACACACACGACAACACACACGACAACACACACGACAACACACATTTCACTCACGTTTGCCCCTGACAACACACACGACAACACACACGACAACACACACGACAACACACACGACAACACACACGACAATCACACGACAACACACATTTGACTCACACTTGCCCCTGCCAACACACACGACAACACACACGACAACATACACGACAACACACACGACAACACACACGACAACACACATTTCACTCACACACGACAACACACATTTCACTCCCACACGACAAAACACATGTCACTCACATTTGCCCCTGCCAACTCACACGACAACACACATTCCCACTCACACACGCCAACACATACGACAACACACATTTCACTCACATTTGCCCCTGCCAACACCCCGTACAATCGGTTCTGATATGCCAGATTTGCTGTTTTTTCCCCCCGTTCAACCCGAATACCAGCCGCATAATTTTGTCAGCCTTTTGTTTTCGTATCTGCCGAGTAGAATGGGACAGGTTAGAGAAGTATAGGCCAGCTAATCGCAGTTTGTAGATTTTGATTATTTTGTTTAAATTCTTCAGTTTTGATTCACAAATACGAACATAGTGAGTACTCTGTACGTTTTGTACATCTGTACACCATGTACAGGCTCCAAGTGTATGTGTACTATTCCATGGTACGCGTACACCCCCGTTGTTTCTATAATAAAATTTTGTGTGTACAAGCAACTCCTATGTTTGAATGGTGTAAACAGAAGCACGCGTGCCTCCATGCAAGATTTTTAGCATAAACTAAATCGTTATTCCCATCTTACGCCTCAACTGCTGACATTCCTATTGATCCTCCATCTTTTATGAGCTGTTTCTTGATGTTTACGGAAGACTGAATCATCATTTATTTAGTAATTTATTCGCAGTTATGGAGCACTATGTTGTCATTTATATATTAACCGCTACTAATAAAAGTCTTCTAAATTAGCGATAAGCTATGTTTTATATTAAAAAAGATCTACTCATTTAGGAGTGGTTCGGCAGAGAGCGTCTGATTAATAATTTCAAATGTTCCGAGTTCGAACCCCCGGCAGATTAAGGCTCGTTCGCTGTAGAAAGCAACCCATCTAGGAGAGAAAACTCCCAAATCAAACTACTTGCAACCAGTATCTCTTCTAGGAGCTCTGCCCCCCCCCCTCCCCCCTCCCCCGAAGAGAGTCTCACCCCCCACCCCGAATGAAATGAAATTTATATAGATAATATATACTTTTAATAGTGTCCGCCCCCCATCCCCCCCCCCCCCCGGAAATCTTAGTCCGCCCCCCCCCCCCCCGGAGAAAAAAGTCTGGAAGAAACCCTGCTTGCGAATCAGGTAATAAAAGTAGGCTGAAGTCGGAGTCAACAGTTCAAATGGCTCATGATAAAGCTGACACGTTAAAACTTAATTGGGTAGGAAGTAAAGCCCTTCAGTCTTTACAATTAAAGAACGAAGACGTCAACCTGTATGTTACATGTAACCTACCCGTACGTCATAAACGGCAGGCTAGGTTTTAAAAAACTTAGGTATATTAATTTAGCCAGACAGTTAATTACAGATGAAAATAATACTTTGCTTGATATAAATCCGTTACCTCATTTTCGTTTAGTGTATCTTTTTGAATGTAAAAAGATTTGAAATAACCCATATGCTCTATGTTATTTGACACGACTTTTTGTATACCTTATATGCTGTTTGTTATTTGACACGACTTTTTGTATACCTTAAATGTTGTTTGTTATTTGACACGACTTTTTGTATACCTTATATGCTGTTTGTTATTTGACACGACTTTTTGTATACCTTAAATGCTGTTTGTTATTTGACACGACTTTTTGTATACCTTATATGCTGTTTGTTATTTGACACGACTTTTTGTATACCTTAAATGCTGTTTGTTATTTGACACGACTTTTTGTATACCTTATATGCTGTTTGTTATGATGGGGAGGACCGAGGCTCGACACCAAAGTGGTTTAGTAAAAAATAAAAACGATAACAAACACATAATAAACACATAACAAACACATAAACAAACACATAAGAAACACACACAACAAACATGTAACAAACACATAAGAAACACATAAGAAACACACATAACAGACACACAACAAACACATAACAAACACATAACAAACATAAGAAAAACACATAACAGACACATAATAAACACATAACAAACACATCAGCGCCAGATGTCTGTGTCTCATTGCATGCATCAGCTAACCATTGTTTTTACCTGAGTAGACAACATTAGAGTGTGTAGTTTTCATCTATTATGTGCCCGACGTTTATGTGTTAGCGTGAGGCCAACATATGCACGCTTATATGTGCTCTGGTAGTGTTCACGTGTAAGGTGTAACAATAGAAACGGTGTAGTTAACTGCGCGTAGCGGTGCGCCCGGTTTTATCGGTTGATATTTTTAACCTTTGACTCAACTCATCTTGCAGAGTACGGTCGAGTGTCTGCTGTTTTAAGAGAAGGCGTGTTGTATGTACACACAACATAAGAATGTTCCAACACACACACACACACAACAACATAAGAATGTTCCAACACACACACACAACAACATTAGAATGATCCAACACACACACACACACACACACACACACTCGCGGTACTACAGACAGATGGCGACGAGTTAGACGGATGTACTCACCTAGACTGATAGAAGCAGGTCGCGGGGTGTGCTGCACGAATCACTGCTCACACTACGCGTGGGGCGGGCTGGGCGCACTGTCCGACTGATCACCATTTACACTTGGTTCTCTTGTACGTCCGCTAAGTCGAGGGATTTGGGGAGAAATAGAACGAATGTCTCACCCATTGGAAGCCGTCTCCCCCCACCCCCCAGAACCACCTCCCCCCACCCCCAGACCCACCTCCCTGCCCGTCCCGCCACAAGTGCTCGCGGCACACGAGAGCTGCTGTGTGCGGCGGGGCGGGGGAGGGGGGAGAGATGGGAGGGAGAGAGGAGGAGGAGGGGAGTGAGTAGTTTTCGTGACCTCTGAACTGTGATGCCAGTTGGCAACTGTGAGGAATTTATGGCAGCTCATTGATATGTGTTTACTGCTGCAACCGTCCAAAGTAGAATGCATCACAGTTTTATGGCCGTCCAAAGTAGAATGCATCATAGTTTTATGGCCGTCCAAAGTAGAATGCATCATTGTTTTATGGCCATCCAAAAAAAGAATGCATCGTATTTTTTTTAGAGCCGTGCAAAATATTATGCACCCTATTTTCGTATCCGTCAAAAATATAATGCAACATATTTCCTTGCCGTCTAAGATTTAAAACACCTTATTTTTTTTAGCCGTCCAAAATAAAATGCATTATATTCTTATAGCTGTCCAGAATTTAACGCATCATGTCCCTATAGCCGTTCAATAAAGAATGCATCGAATTTTTATAAACGTCTTTAAATATTATAGATCTACTCCATATTTTTATACCCGAATGGAATATAATGCGCCATACTTTTATAGCAGTCCAAAATATAAAGCACCATTTTTTTTTTCGGGCTGTCCAAGAAATAATACACCCAATTGTCTAATCGTCTTTAGCATGATTCACCCTCATTCAGAGTTTCTTCCAGGCATCTTCGCCCCCCCCCCCCTCCCCCCCCCCCCCGAAAATTTCAAGTGGCCCCCCTCGAAGAAAAAAAATCTGGAAGGAACACTGCCCTCATCAAAATAAATAGATGAAAATGCGCCGCTTTTTACAGCTGTCCTATACACAATCCTATCCGTCAGTCGTATCATTGAATTGTTTATAGACAAGTAATCTAATGTCCTCCCATCAGTGGAAGGTAAGCAAATAATTAGTGTGTGCATTTAACGATCAGATCTGCAATCTAATACAGCCTTTTTTAAACCTGATCTTTGACTTCCTACCGTTCCATAGACCTCACTGTTACAGCATACTGGATTTAACTCAAAACATCGTCTATCAATAAATCGATGGATATTGTACACAGCCAGCACTATACTGCTGTCCCAATTTGTGGACTTGTGCCGATATTTAGTACAAAAACATTACGTTTAAAATGTGGGGGTTTGTGTGTGTGTGGGGGGGGGGTGTACTTTTACATAGACGCTGTGAGGTCAACAATTAAAACCCTCAAAAGATGAGTACAGTTTTTAAAATGTTTTGTTGTGATCACTTTAGCTGTAGCAGGGAAAGATAACCGGTACAAATACCCATTCGGCAACGTTGAATAAATTCACATAATATAAAAGGTTATGTCCCTTGAGGTATTTTTACCCACGGACATGGCCAGAGCAAACTATCGATTAGGCGTGTTTGGTTATTTGTTAACACACCATGAACTGTCGATTAGCCGTGTTTGGTTATTTGTTAACAAAACATGTACTGTCAATATATTATTTGTTAATTAATGAACTGTCAATTAGGCGAGTTGTTTTTTATTAACAAAACATGAACTATCAATTAGGTTTGGTGCTACTGTTAATAAATTAACTATCAATTAGGCGAGTTCTTAATGAAACACTATTCTGTATCCCGTTATATCATTAGGTGAAGGAAGGGAATGGGATTGTTATATAATATGAGCGATGGTTTATTTAAATGTTATAATGCTATATAAGATATAGGTGTGTTAATCATGTTATATATCCGTGGTGTAAAATAGAGGCCAAAACATTGAATACATTCTTACATTTTATTTTCCTTCCAGTATTTTGTTTTAAGTACGTGTAAGAATAAATCCGATTGTATGTACTTTACTATGGAAGTATATATACGATAAAAACTTTTGTTTATTCTTCTTATATAATATTGAATAGTGTTAATTCAAAATGTGTGCATCTCAACAAGCGATGACTATACTGATATGTTTACACTTGGCACAAAAGTTCTCTATAAGATAATAACATTACAATTAATTTTTACATGCTAGCAATTTTTTTTATTAAAAGGTATATAACTCCGAGTTTGTTTTATCGGGCAGAAATAACGCGATTGTCTCCCTTACAACGCAAAATTTATGTGACACGCTCTAGTAACATACATTTTTTGGTAATCTGTCGTTTTAGGTACGTAAAATCGGCCGAGACAAGTAATGTGAAAAAAAAACGTGATTCATTAATTATTAGTAATTATTTTACATTTTTAGGAGGATTTATGTTTTGAAAGTTACAAAAATATTTCAAAGTTTCATTAATGTACCTGTTTTTTAACTATTGTATTAAAACTTTTCAGTAATAAATAAATCCTTCTTCATCAGATGCAACCAAGCTAATTTACTTAAGCAGCCATCTTGTTTAAGTTTTTATTTTTGTGTAAACTTATAGTTGGAGATTCAGGGGAAGCCACTCTATTTTACAGATGGCCTCTTTTTATATAGCAAATCCTGCTCGCAAACACTTCTGTTTAAAGTTAATTTCTTGCTGTTTTGATATATTTAACCATTGCTTTTGGTTTATTATTTAGTTATTTATAATATTTGACACAAATATATCACAATATACTTCTATTAAAGCCTTAACAATTAGGCAACTTTTTCGCACATTACTAGCCTCGGCCAATTTTACGCACTTAAAACGATAGATTACCAAACAAACTTTAGGTATAGTTAGGAATAGTATTATTCGTACACATCCTTTTTAAATATTTTAAATACGAACGTCAACAGGCTAGTTAATTTTTATGAAAAGCGTCGTTGTATAACAATGTTATAATGTGGATAACTCTGTGTGAAAATTATTAATATATTTTAACAAGTTATCTCTCTTGGATCATTTTACTCTATTTTATTATTTCTATAAATTATTTTACTTATTCACTTAAATTATACTTTACAATATCTTTATTTAAACTTTACATTATATTTACTTACCAGTATATTATGTGCAATTATAAATCAATACAACATCAAAATAATTTCAATAATAATCAACTATGTATATTATTAATTTTGCAAAATATATTTGCAGAATGATTAAAATGTTTTTCATAGAACAGAATTGAAACGTGCTTAGACATGCGCTTAAACAATTAATTACACCCACAATAAATAAATATTAAAGTTATAATTATCAATAATGGATATTGGTAAAACTAATTTAATTAACGTTAGCCCACTCTCAGCATATTTATTGTCTAGGCTAAGAATACCATTGGTATCAGTAGACGAGTTCAATTGAGGACGTAGTTGATAGAAAAGTTTGAAAATAATCTGCCAATTTTTAAATATTGTGGGTATCTTTTGAAATTCTAAATTAAATTTTGAAAATATTTGATTACTGATTTCTATCTAACTGGTAAATTATATCATTATTATGTTAAATACGTGTGATTTGCTTGTTCTAGCAGAATAATGCTTTGTAATTTATTTAACGTTTTGCATTTTATGTAATTAGAATTTTCTTTAAATACACTATTTCAAACTAGCTTATCCTAAAAACATTTTAACAGAATGTAATGAAACTTGAAACAGTAGTTACAATGTATGTTTACCTAAAACCAGAATGAAAATTTTAAGATAGCGTTGCTTGCTTTGGTTTTACAATCTCTTTGGCTATTTATTTTCTTTTTCAAAATTCAGTTTTCTCAATAGTGCCATTATTACAAACAAGAAATTTGTTAAAATTTTTTACTAAAATCAATGCAGTGAAACTCTCACATAAGTTATAAGACATGTCCATCTATTACCTGACTGACAATTGTGAGGACAGCAATGTTTATGTAGGTTTTACAGCTTTAAGTTAAAATAAAGCGGGAGTGATCTCCTCTAAACTTTGTCGAATATTCTTATATAACACTACGGGGTATGGCAACTTGGGATAAAGACATAATTTTCAATCCATTTTTAATTACTTAAACTTTTTAAAATAGAATAGAATATAGTAGAGAAAAAAAAAAGAATTGCACACCAAGTGAACGCCAAACAATCTATGTTAATAGTGCGGAATATTATTAGTATTTTCATATGCGCTGTTTTTTTTTTTTTTTTTTTTTTTTTTTGAGAAAACGGAAATAGCGTAAATTACCACCTCCTGTCAACAAAAATAAATCAAAATCTGACAGAAGTCAGAAAATTAGATCTTTGTACATATATGTGAAATTTCTATCTGAAGCAGTACTCAAGTTTCGTGTTCACAGACATACAGACACACAGACAAACGGACAAAATTGCAAAACTATGCTTTTTTCAAGGCCGTGTAAAACCCAAGATATGTGAAAATCTAGATTGCACGATTACAATACTTACTCTATACTTAGCATACGAAAAAGTAAAAAAGTTAAGTTTCCCTATCCAACCTGACGGTCCATAGGGCATCTGAAATAGAGTTCACCTGCTTCTTAAACCTGGCATATGAAGGGGTAGTGTGGTCAGCACTATGCCCAGCCGCATTTACTTTCCCTAACGTGAGTTAGGTACCCATCAGTGCTGAGTGGTCTAAGGAACGTTCTACTGACTTAAACCTGTATTCAAACTCGAGACTTACGGGTTATCAGTCCAGCGCTCTACCTCTAGGCCACACACATAAAACTGCCTCCTCCTCCTGTATATCTCACCACCTACTTTGGACGTGATTTGGCCAGGGAACGACCTACCGCGCATGACTTCAGATCAGCAAGCGTGCGCTCTACCACCAGACCATACCGCTCCCTGTTCAGATTAAAACTTTGCGCTGGTTGAGATTTTACTAGAACCCTTCATTTGTGTTGAGCCTCCACCGGGACTAACTTATACAGCAACAACATCTTACAGCGGAGATGTGCCACAGGGGCGAATTTTCACAGAGACGAAATGTCACTGGAGCGAACTAAAAAAGAATTTTA